TTCTGAGCATGGGATTTTGACCCCTCATATAAACATATGCATAATACTGCGCTAAACTTTGCGGCCACACGCTTATTGTTTAGGTCCTTTGAAAAGTAGGCAGTCATATAATTAACTAGAACTAACTAGATCTGATAGATTTGGACATAGACGCGAGTGAAGTATAACCGGACGCGAGAGAGAGATCAGATCAGCTGCTGCTGACGGAGAACACGCAGCTCTGCATGATCACAGCTCCGCCGCTGTGACGGACCGTTGAGCGGACCAAAATACACTAAGAGTTAGACCTAACACACTTAGCTAGTTTATCTACTCTGGAACTAGCTAAACTAGTTATAAATATATTTGTTCTTTACTGTCGGGTCACTTAGGCCGGTTAGACAGGTTCACTGCTGCACGAGACTGACGGGCTGTAAGGAGAGGGAGAGGAAAAGAGAGCACCCCGTTTACTTTTCCCATCTTATTATCCAGAATTACTGTAAACATTTGAATAAAGTAGTTCATCTACTATTAGTAGTTTGTCCGCATACCCCCATTTGAGAACCACTGGCATAGACCATGCTAAAGCCCTAGAGTGAGAAAAGAAAAAAACCTGCAGTAAATACGGTTTAGGTTATTTTCCAACACCCACACTTAAGGTATTTGTGTGTATTTTGCTGAGATACTTTGTTAGCCTTATTTTGATTCAACGTAATGATGAATAATTTGGATTACCCACAGCCTTACAGTGACATTTCATGCCTCAGAGCAGTTATTTAATTATACAGCAATTAAAGCTAGTTAGAAGCATGCCAGGCTATTGTAGTAAAAGAGACATAACATGATATTAGATTGAATGCTAAGTAATTATCTTGTCTCTCAAATTGTTGCTGAACATTTTTTGTTATTATTTAATACTTGTGTGCAGCTATTCTTTTCGTCTCAAGAATTTTTTTTTAGGTTAAGAAATTAACATCTGTAGATTTTCTGCTGTAACTGTGTGTTGTTTGGACACTAATTATAATTTCCAAACTAAATTAAACACAAACTTAAACGTCTGCCCAAAAAACAGTTTAAAGGTGCATTACTACCAACAATTGGAGAGGTGTGGTGCACAAAACGGTGTTGCATTGTGGGATACACTCTGCTCTGAATAATAAAGCAGAATAAGGATAAACAAAACATTTTGGGAAATTTAGAGCAGAGGCAGACAGGAAGTGGGTCTACATAATTACCTGAAATCCTTGATTTCAAATGCAATTTATTTATAGTCCTTATTGGTAAAACAGTCATTGAGTCAAGTGTAGGATAGGTTTTCATTTCCATTGTATGATTTTGTATAGTATAACATTTTCACCAAAGGTCACACATCTGAGCGTGATATTAACACCCTACCCCTCTCTCCATCCACTGCCATCACAATGGGAAATGTAAGACTTGGGAAATCCCTGAAATTGATGAGGAACAGGATTAAATTGACATGTGATTGATAGTGTGGTGAGTGTGAAAAGGTGCTCAGATAAATGTTAAAGTTCTTTCAGACTTGAAGTGCCTGAAATCTATAAGAATTCCCTCTTGGTCCTGCTGACTGAAAATTCAGAAACCTTGAAAGTTATATTTAAAATGTCCTTCCTCCAATGGTTCATTAACCTTCCATGGTTGGTTGATGAATATTCATGCAGTGTGTGTGTGTTTTCAACGAGAGTGCTTAAATGCACCAGAAGCAAGGTTGAAGTGAATATTAATCTGCATGAGTTGTGTTTGTGTGTGTTTGCAGTGCATTTTCTTGCATTTTCTTGCTTTATGTCCCCTGACTGACTGACATGATATGTTACTGACCCCAGGGCAGCGGTGCAGAGCAGAAAGGTGATAAAGCATTGGTGGAGAGAAAGGGCTCCAAGGAGGATCACCAGCACCATCATCACCATCACCACCACCACCAGGACCAGGGTGATGCCGATGGGGAGGCTGAGGGGGAGGGCAATGAGGAGGAGAGGCCTCTGAGGACAGAGACCTCCAGGAGAGCCCAGCACATCCACCACCGTTCGTCTTCCACCAGGACTGAGCAACACAACCACCACCACCACCACAGCGGTCGGGGGCGGGGCCTCTCTCGGCAGGAAACTTTGGACTCTGAGACCCCCGAGAGCAGAGAGAGCCGAGAGAGCAAGGACTCGGCTTATATCGAGCCACGCACTCAACTCCTCCACCGGGAGGAGGAGGAGGAGGAGGATGAAGAGGAGGAGGAAGATGAGGAGGAGGAGGAGGAGGAGGATCTAGGGGAGGGGCACCCCCAGCAGCAACAGCGATATGAGCCACTGCCCCACCGGGACCACAATCACCACCACCATCACCATCACCGGGGGGGGGCGGAGGAGGCCGGCCACAGCACTGGACAACACCGCTCAAAGGAGCGCGAGCAGGACCATAACGAACGGAACAAGCAGCGCTCGCACCATCACCGGCCGGCACGGGACCACCACCACCAATACTACGATCGGGACAGAGACAGGGACCGAGAGGTGGAGGTGGCTCCCAAAAAAAGGGGAGACGCAGGGGAGTGGTCCAGAGACTCCTACATCCACCAGTGACAGACCAAATCCCTCCCGAAGCTCATCTGGACTCTTAACCATTCTGTTCTCCCATCGTGCTGCTATACCCTGAAACCACAGCATCCTATTTATGTACACTTCCTTTTGAAATGCTGTTGCATCTTTTTCAATGGCAGGATTTTAATTACATAGATATAAATATATGTATGTGTGTATCTATGCATAGACGTTGTTTATGTGTGGATATGCATGAATATTCTCAAATATGCATATTTTAAACCTGTGTTTGATAAAGCATGACACAAAAGCAGAATTGTTTTCTGTACGGAGCTGTGCTTTCTGTGATTAGCATTTTTAATTGTTTTGCTTGCTATCATTTGAATAATTTGTTCCTTCAGACTACTGCTAGGGTTGACTCCAACAGTTGACTAACCAAGTTAGTTTGAGACTGTGTTTGCAGATGGAATTTGTTTTAAAGAACAGTTTGTCAATTTGGGAAATAGGCTTATTCTCTGCCTTGCTGAGAGTGGCCAGTTTGTTCGGTACTGCAACTAAAACTAATGCAGTCTAAAATATAATACCTCCATAAAGGTATTCAACAGTTTTTGTTGAAACTGAACTTTATCATAACTTTGGAGACTGCAGTGTGTGGTGCTTTTGGTTTGTATTGTATTGTTATATTGGCAGTTTCTATTATTTTGTCCACCCCATTTATATCAATGAGGGTAGTCTAAAGAACAGGACTGTTGGATTAGACTTGATTTGTTTTAGCACCTAATTAACTGCCAACTGGGTCTAAAGGGAAAGATCATTACACTCATATTAGTAAGGTACATATGGTGTTACAGCTAGCAGCCTGTTAGCTTAGCTACATACGGGAAGACAGCCAGTCATTCCCTGTTTGAAGGTTGCAAATAATATTTAAAGCTCACTAACTAACCTTTTATATGTAAAATGTTGTTTTGTATAAATAACCAAATTAAAAAAGTTGCGATTTATCTTCAGCTGACTCACGGTAAGCTAACAGGCTGCTATTGCTAGCTGCAGGCTAATATGTAACCGACAGATAAAAAGTGCTATTGATTTTGTAATTTAATTATCAGCAAGGAAGCTAGTAAGCATGTTCCCTAAAGTGTCAGACTACTCCCTTAATTTTATGTTAATCATTTATAGCTTAGTTCCTTTTTTTAATTCTGCATCAATGGTTCAAGATATTGGGTTCGGACATCTTTAAGCCTCCCTGGAGGTGCACCTTAGTCTTGCCTTACAAGACAAAGAAATTCTACAACTTCCTCTCGTAGATGCAGTACTGTTCTCTTTGTATGGGTCCAGAAACATTTTATACCATTGATACACCCTTCTGCACTTTTACTGATTCACGTTGGTTTCAAGTGAAATTTGATATGACATTGCAACTTTTCTGTAGGTCTACAACCAAAACTCCACTTAGATTCATGTTTTATTAAGTCTAACTCCTTTTTCTATTGAATGTTGTTAAATTCCCACTTGAACTCCCACCTCAGAGTATAAATGAATGTTGATTTTAAGATATCTTCTTCAGTACGTTCCTCACTAAAAATGTTTAAAGATGCACTTTGTTTTCCAGACAAAAATATTTGTATCATTCCCCATACTAACACAACCTATTTTAAGGGTTAATTAACGTTTAACTTTTCCTGTAAAATTCCATAATACAGGAATTCGGAATTGAGCTGGCTCTATGCCCCTCTGTTTACAAACCCACCCTATCACTTCACTTTTTTGATTTTGCCTGACAATTGTAATTATAAAAACAACTCCATTTCTATGCTACATTGGTAGCACTACAGATTTTTTCTTACAGTGTACATGTGAATGTACATAATGCATAAATATGAAGAATAAAGTTGGCAACAAAGGACAGATGAAGGGGGAGAAAAATGTTGATGTGTGCTTTGTCAGAAGACCCAGACAGGAGGAGAGCAGTGTCTATAAATATTCGGAAACTCTGCTGAAAAATTGAGGTAAACTCCTTGGCCTGCCTTCTGAGTCGTCATGACAACATGGACATGAATGACAAAACTGTGGGGATGCATCTGAAATAGCTTCTCCACACTCAGATGCCTCCAAAATAGATGAACAAAAACACCTTCAGTGCAGCAGTGAAAGAAGTGGCCATTTTAATCAGCTCTACATACAGTGCTGATGTGCAGTCGGCTGGCATTTCCAGACAGATGTGTGTGGACGGACTTAAGAGTCTAATGGTATTCCCAGGAAGAGGGATTGAGCTGAGGTCATTGTGAAGGTCCTCAAAATGCCGCATGATGGGAGAAGGGGCCAGATGTTTGTGCAGTGTCGGCACTATAAGTTCTGACACCCATAATTCAATTTGCACTGAAGAAATTAGAGATGAGTGATGTAATTTGTATTCAAGCCAACATTTCATGAGTTTAACTGGTAGTTGCTTAAAATATTAACAGGAACCGGTCATTTTTTATTTAAAGGAACTTTTATTTTGAAAACAAATAATTTATTTATAGTGACTGAACTACACACAGCATAATTTCTCTTACGAATAGCACAAGTCTGAATTAGAGGTCCCAGTTATCCCCACAACTACTAAAAGACACTAAATTGTTAATGCCACTGATGACCTCTTTCTGCACGCGACTTCCTGATCTCTGAAATCCAGCGAATCCACGGTCACCATGGCAGCTGTGTCGTCACTGTTGTTATGGCAATGCAAGCACTGCTGCATTTGCCAATACTCATTCACTCTCCATCCCCACGTGCCTCCCTCCTTCCTCCCACCCTCTCTCCTGCCCTCGGTGTTTATACAGCTTATCCCTATATGGCCTGCAGTTTCAGAGAGCAGCTGTTAAGAGGCAGATGCTGTAAACAGCACAGTGAGCGTCTTTGTCAACACTACCCCGTCAAAGCACACAGTTTTGTAATATAAACACTATTGTTCCCGTCTGCAGTCTCATGGTAGAGCCGATGGTGTTGTAAGAGAAAACATGCCCCACAGTCACTTTTTCAGGAACTTAGCAATAAAGAAACCGATGGTGTCCCTGTCGGCTCTGTAGGGGAGGGGGGCCGCCGCTCCTGTCTGGTCCCAGGTCAGCTCCGGACTGAATCTCTGGAGGAGGTGCAGCTGCTCAGGTGACAGGCCAGCTCCCAGCATGCCTTCTGAGCCAATATGAGGCTCCTGTAAACAAAATGTGATCTGGTGAGGTTAACTAACAATCCCTTCTAAATTTGTGAGTTTATCCACGAGGTGTTCTTTTCCTACCTGAGGCTGGAGCGTGAGGCAGGGGAAGGTCTCCAGGGCCCACGCTACCTGCTCCTCATTCTCTGCTAGAGTCACTGTGCAGGTGCTGTACACAAGAACCCCACCTTTCTTCACCAACTGCACTGCCTGTAATTCATAAAGACAATGTATTAAAGCAGTTATAATTAATAGTTTAATAATAATGTAAAACAATGAAAGTGGTCAACTTTCTGATGCAATACATTCTCAGATGTACCACATGTTATCCTGAGTTTCAGCTCATTGTTTGTTTTCTGGTTCACAGCTTTACCGTTTTGGTACACTCTTACCGCTGTCATATCATTGTCTTTGGCCATGCTTTGTATAAAAGGACATAAGGGGGCACTTAGAGAGTGAATATCCAACTTTCATTCATAAAGTGGCCATATAAATGACAGTTAGTCTCTTCCTGCTGGGTATGATATAAGCATGTTTGATAACACGTTTGCCAACTCAAAAGGTCAGTTGTGTTTCTGCTGCCCCCACGTGGCCAACAACAATAAGTTAAGCGTCATACAAGCACAGACACAGAAATGCGTCTTTATTAAGTCTAGATGAGACTTAATAACATGCGTGTGATGGAGCACTATATGGCACTGGGGATAATTGATGTGCTCCGCATTGGACTCTAATCCCTCTTTAGTAATCCATCTGTTAGCCATACTCGAAGCAAAAAAAGCAAACAGATTTTACATTGACTTTAGTCTACATTGATGTACATGTATAAAAGTGACGAGAATGTGTGTTGGTTGCTTAACGTAAAAGTATAAATACTTCCTGGGTCTGCTTTAAAAACACCATCACAATACTTAGTTAAGTTATCTCTAATTTTAAGTTATCGCAAAAAACGGGTGACATTTGTTTTCCTATAGAGCTGAAAGCTGTATTTGTATTAAAGGTCCCATGTCATGCTTTTCTGGTTATTACCCGTCCCCTTGTGTGTTATGTAGCTTTTCCTGCATGTAAACGGTCTGCAGAGTCACAAACCCTCAAAGTACACCCTGTAGCGAGTAAAACTCTAACACAGAAAAGACCTGTCTATGCTGCCCCAGAACGCCTCCTTGGAGATTTCTTTTTATTCTTCCTGGGTACAGTGACGTATTTGGGTAGTAACGTAACGTCCGCGGAGCTGTTCCTCACACACACAGCTGCAGCTCCGCCGATTTCTCAGCCTGAGACGGCTGGACGCGGCGAGGCTGTGAGTTTGTGTGAGAGCACACACACAAACTCCCAGCCAGGCTGCGGGTGTGTGTGTGTGTGTTCTGGCTGGTTTCGGGCTGGGTTTCGCTGTGTCTCGCTGTCTCACAGATGGCCACTGGGCTCACAGGGAGGAGCAGGAGGTCCAACAAGCTGTTTAGGACAGAGTGAATACACATACTATACAGAGAATTAAATCTATTTTAGTATACCTCAACAATGGAATTATGATAAGTAGAAATGGCCATGACATGGGCCCTTTAACACTTAATGGAGGGTATATTATAAAGAACATTTTCAGTAATACGGTATTGGTGGATGTAGTTTTAAATGCACTTGATGAGATAAGGTATAGCAATGATTTGAGTAGAGGGAAAACTTCTTAATGAATAATCTTTGAGTGTATTTGGAGTTTAGTTGTGATTTCAGTGTAATGTATGCCATCTGCTGCCATCTACTGGTCAAAAGGAGCCACTACCAATGCTGTGAGTTCAATCGGATGTGAAAGTGCTTCCTCTGTGTGGTAAAACCTACAGCGTGGAATAACTTGCGCTGCAGAGGCTGGTAGGAACAGAGCTCCTTCAGGCTCCAGGTACAGGACATGCTGGGTCTCTGCCCGAGGCCACTGCAGGGGGCGTCCAGGAGAACCCGGTCGAAACTTTCAGCAGGGAAAGGAGGTCCTGGAAGAAGTCCAGAAACAGCAGTAAGTAAACACAGCATACTGAGGGTTGGCTTTATATATCATGTATGTGTCACTGTGTACCTTCATGCTCCTGTGCAGAGTCGCTGCTCACAGCTTTAGTGCTGTTAAAGCAATACACTTTAACTGAGTTTAATTGCAACATTTTGGCATTTTGACGAATTCGATCAATCTTATTTTTGATTTTCTCCAGGGCCACGACCTCACCCTGTGTGAGACGGAAAGAGACGGAAATTCATTAACAAGAAACAAAAAGCATCAGATCCTTCTAAAAGGTCCTGCATTGAAAATCTTCTCATCAAATACTCGTCAGGCAGTGTGTCGTTTAACAGCGTTATATATAAAGTACAAATAGTATCATTATCACTGATGCATTTATGTGTAGGAAGCATTTTTGTTTTAGTTATAACATTTTAAACTTTAATTTTTGAAAAGGCTTGATTAGCAGTCCAGCTAGAAAATGTCAACCTGTTTCTAATTTGAATCAATTTGTTTCACCTATCTTCTAGATGTGAGGCAGGCTGCAGCATGAGAATAAAACAAAAATAATATTTCAGAAAATGCTTTACACAAGCAGGTGCGTCGCATGGTTTAAAAGTAATCTGTGACTTTAGCAGTCAGATAAATCGAGCGGAGTAGAAATGTAAAAAAATAGCAAAAGAAACAAACACTTGTACGGCAAAACTCTACTTCAGTAAAGGAAAAAACCTGTAGTAGGAACCATTGGTTGAACACTTCTAATCAAAACAAATAATATCTACAGTAAGTGAGGTGATATAGAAACAACCAAAGTTGACTCCCATGGTTTTTTGGCTTGATTCCACTTAAATGTCTCTGTATGTCATTAGAAGTTTAATAATTCCATAAGCTGTTCAACCTTTCTCAAGTAGTTTCATATGAATAACCCCTTAGAAGCCTGAAGGGGGGAAACTATTCCGTACTTTATTAATACAGAAAAGTCAGGAGAAAAGTGTAAAATAAATGTGTTTTTGATCCTCTACAATCCCATACATCGTCTCATTTCCCCTCAGATTTATCTTGCAACACTATTTTAGGAACCGCTGCTCTAGATCAAGCTGTGCAGTAGATGTGTGTTTAATAGGCTGGATTCTCAGATTGAAAGCCTGAATATTAACTCTGATCCCTCCAGCAAATTGTACCTGATCCCTCATGAGCGCAGCGATGTGGCAGGTCTTCCCTCCGGGCGCAGCGCACATATCCAGGATCCGTTCTCCAGGAAGAGGCCCGAGAACATGTCCCACCACTACAGAGGGAAGGTTCTGCACAACATGGAAAAACACCTCGTGATAGATAAGAACTGTTTCTCAATTACTCCGTTTTACATCTTAAAAGTATAAATACCTGCAGGAATGCCAGGTTTGGTAGAACACCATCAAAGGAAGGGCTCTGGTAAAGTGGCTCTACCATCCGAACACCTACTCCCCTAAAATAACAGAAAACAGTGCAATATGTTTTGCTTATTACATTTTATTTTAAACAGTACAGATGTGCAACCACTATAATAAAGGTGTTTAGCTTTGGAAATATGTTGTTTACTCATCCTTTAAAGCCATTTACTTACTTGGCAGCTACATCTGTGCAGAAGATGCCGGAGCGGTCTATTTGAGCAACTCCATTTCCCACAAACCCTCTCATTCCCTGGAAGCTTGTGGCTCCTCGGGTGCAGCGACCCTCCAAGTCAGAGAAGACAGACACCACATCGCCAGCCTTCATGACTAAAACAGATATCAAGTTAGAAAACCTCTACATTGTTGAATATAACTAGATGTGTATTGGACACATATCTTTCCCAGCATCTGTTTTTGAGACTTACACTTGGGGCTGGCTAGGATCCCCGGGACAAAGACATTGGCGCCTCTGAGGACAGCACTGCCACACTGAGCGCCAACCACCACCTCTGAGCTGAGCTGCTCCACAGGTCTGAGAACAGGAGAGGGATGGAAGTCACACCCTTCTAAATCCATCTCATTTAAAGCATCCTCCTTCTTTGGTTTAGTACGGACAATTTTTTTTCTGGAGATATAGCAAATCTTGGCATGGGTTCACAATTTGTTGCATATTTTAAGTCTTTTATTTTAAGTAATAAAAAAATGATACCACTATGACATCTTTATTGTACTGTTACTGTATTTTTTTTTGCATGAAAACGCACACCTAAAAAAAATGGATCCTACTGAAATTGGTAAACAACATTTCCTGAGTTTTTTTCTGTTGTCATTGTTTGAAAATCAATGTAGGTTTGGCCTGAGCAAACACTCCCTATGGGCAGACTGATACGCGATTTAAAGCTAAGTGTGTTCTCCATAGAGCACATTCGTATCGCTCTGACGTGGTTCTAGCATTCCTCACATACCTCGGGCCATCGACAGGAAGCAGCAGCACATCTGGAATACGTGGGTGAGGAAGAATCTGAACTGAGACCTCCTTTTCTGTTGAGGTGCACATCTGCTGCTTCAATAACAACACAGAGAAAAGTTAGGGCCCGACTGACGACCACTGTGGGTCATTTCCTTTTTTCCTCACCTTTTTGAGCTCCTCCCCTAACTTTTGTCTGATCTCTTCCAGGGGAGCGAGATGAGTACTGGCCCGAACACAAGTGTAAGAAGGAGGGTGAGACAGACATGTGAGCAGCCTCTGGAAACGACTTTCTGCCTCCTGATGGCCGACTGCTGCTAACACCTGAAATCAAAAAGGATGATCAAAGTATGCAAATTATGGAATTGGCAATTAGAAAACTGTCAGAAACGTGGCTTCTTTTGAGATTCAGCCTTTCACTTTCAGCAAATGCCACTAAAACATTCAACTTTAACTATGTCAAGTAAAAATAACATTACTATCCTTAATTTACATAACTCTGTAGTTACATTTACCATTGAGAACATCATCTGCAATTAACTTTCTACTATAACACAAAACATACATTTAAGGGCTGATTCTGGGACTCATTATTATAGATACAAAAAAACAAACCATGCCTTGAAAGTGCATTTACACAAGTGTGGGGAGACAAAAATAGCACAGAAGTTATGACAACATTTATTTGGAAAGCCATAACTATGTTAGGGAGGGTTTTACTGAGGTAATTTGTAGTCATGGCATCAGTTCATCTAAATTCTATGATAAGCCATGAAGGTTCCCAGATTACCCCCATGTTAGCTTTTCCACTGAAGCAAAGACATCCACTTTTTAAGAGGTGTATTTATGATTCTCCTGAAAACACAATCTGTTTCCAAAGAAAAACAATGAAATGTCTACCTCCTTGTTTAAGAAGACATTCTTGAGATAATCAGTGACTTCAGGTCTCAGGGATATCCTTGGAAAAGTAGACATCACTTAAATCTGTTCAAAGGAAAGTAAAAATAACAGAAAAGCAAATAAATAAAGACACACTGCAATAAAATGAGGTACAAATATATGCTTACAGTTCTGAGGGCTGTGGTCTTGATTGGTTGAGGTTAAAAAACGGTGAGTGGTGGTGATATGTTGACATTGTGAGGGATAATTAAAGACGAACACACTTTACTGAGGTCTATTCCACAGAAGGGAGGCAGTTGTAATAATAGCGTAACTCAAAATGGATCATAACTGGGATCCTATTAAACTCAATTTGAGACATGTTTTAAAGAAACCAAATTCATGATTGATTTGATGCCAGTGTTATAACTTATTATTAATTTCGAATCATTCTTGTCCCAACAAGCAAACACAACGTTTCACAAATAATTACGATTGCAATTTAAAACGACTGCAACGTAAAAGCCCAGAATGAAACAATAAAATACTCACAAGTATTTTAATGAAATTAATGAATGAATTAATCTCGGAACCCGTTAACCATTGCACACAATTTCCTTTAATTACTGTAAGTGAGTTTACTGTAAGTGAGTCTCCTGTCATTCATTATTTTTGTTCACACTTAACGTGACTTTAAGTCACAGGTCATATTAGTCATCTAAATACTCGTTAATCCTATTCTACACATATAATTTGTTCGCACACAATTAATGACTTGTCAATAGATAAATATAGGAGTACAATTAATCTTAAGGCTATTTTAACAATCTTTAGGTACTCACGTTCTGTGGTGGCATGGAGCGCTGGTGTTTTGACAATTACTTCCGTATACGTCACTAGCTTGGTCACGTGTCAGTAGTTGATGTCTGTATAAATCCAAGTAATGCAGCCTGTTGATTCATTTATGTATGAAGTCTATTGCTGATCACCGATACTTATGGTATTTGTGTTGTATTAAGAAACGCAAGGTGTATACATATTCATTATGTACACATGTATTTTAAATACTTGAATGTTGTACTTTTCACAATAATTATTTTATGCATTTGTCAACAATTATAACCTTTTCTATGAAGCCATTGTTTGAACATTTGTTAACACTGTCATTCAGTTTATGTTTAAACACCGGGCTCATTACCACAGGAGGAGTTCTAATGGTTGACACACCTACACAAACATTATAGAAATACTGCTTATGCATAGGGTGACTTAAAATACATTTCCAGTTCATAGCATTTAAAAAGTAAAATATACAAGAAGAAAACTGAAAGTATAATGCTTTACATTTTGTCTTATGGTGAAAGGAAAAGTATTGTATGTTTTACTGTGCCTACAACCAAGTAGGCTTATTTTTGAAGTATTGTAATTGTGTTATATTTAGGTCTGTTCCCTTCTTGTGTTTTTGTGTCTTAAAATGCTGTCCCAAAAAAAGGCCAACGTGTACACGCCATGACGTCATCACGTTGGAAGACAACTGAATAGCTGGGGTTGCTTTTTTCAGCAAACCACTGCCAGCAGCCAACGGGCAGAAGAAACCGTGCGAGCAGAGTCAACACAGTGCCGCACTTCTCAGCCTGTTTATACGATTTGTGGAGGCTTCAACGTCTCCCTGAGCCACTCGACAAGAATATTTAAAGTCTATGTTACATTCCACCATTGTATCCTCGCGTTAGCTAACCGGAGCGCATGGAGTCCGCGTTCAAAAGGTCGGCGAGGTGTTTTGCGGACAAGAGATCATCCAGCTAATGTTAGCTAGCCGCAGCCAGCCGCGGACTGTACGGTGTGGATTTGAGAGTGGAGAAGCTCGGTGCTGCTGCCCACTCTACTGACGGAACTACGGGAAGACGTTAACCTAAACAATGGGCGTCATATTCGCCAAACTGTGGAGCTTCTTCTGTAACCAAGGTGGGTGTCGGTAAAATTGTTAGGGCTCACTAACCTCCCGCTAGCTACTCAACCGAGGATAATAAGTGTTAGTCCGTTAGCATAAAGTGAGCAGCAAGACCCATAATAACAGATGGGGTCTGAATTATCTCGCTACATCTCTCCGTGACTTCAGGACTCTGCCATCTGAGCTGCCTTTGTCTAACTCGCAATGCAAAACAACCTCTACAACTTCAGTGCCACCCCAAATACTTATGTGTTTATCACTGGGTCAACTAATATGATTTAATTTAAGTCAAACTAAGTCTGTAAGCGTGTATTCAGCCAGTTGTTTTTTCGGGTAACATTACATAACTTTCCCCTGAGTTTCTAGTAATTTAATGAAAACTTTATATTTATTGTGTAATTTTCTTCACAATGTAAGCTCAATCATTATTGTATGTATGTGACTTTAACATAATAATTATGCAGTTGTTGCTCATTTTAGAATTGAGTGAAAAACAAAGGAAAAGCACAACAAAGACACTGAGATTAAGGCAACAAAAAGGCTAGCTAATCCCACCCTTTACAACTAAAATACCCATATTGTATCGTATGTGTGTACTATTATTGCAAATATTCAAAATATTGCTGAGGTGGAACATTGTTCCACTTTCATCTGCAGGGAACAAAGTAAGGGTCTGCTTTGTTTGATTTTTAAGTATTTAGTCAGTGAGTCTTCTCATGTGGTGTAAGGTTTTGAAGTGTTCAACTAGACTTTAGAGCTTTCAATGTGTGAGTATCTTTTCGCTGGGAGGAGGGAATAAGAAAGAGGGATTTTAAAAGTATGTGTTATTTCATGCTTCAAGGTAACTAACGGTGCATTTTCATATCATAGTGTAAAGATCATTGTTTTCACAAGGGAACTCCCTCTTGTCTCAATTCCTTTGGCATGTATTGAATTGTTCTCGGCCCTGAGGATAGCAGAGAAGGATTCCTACTCCCTGCCTAATTCTGGATTACACTGTTCCTGGTGTCAGGTTTCATTCATTTTAAGGGTTTAAAGGCAAAGTCTAAGTGGCAGTGTGGGGATCATAGTCGTAGTTTAAAACATGCAATCATAACAGTAGTTAAGTCACCTCAAATGTAGTGTCTAAATACTAGTGCTGGCAATTGTGAAATATCACTATAGATGTGTCGTTATGTTTTATTCTTTTCTGAACCTTTTTACTGCTGTGTTCTAAAGGAAGTCTAGCCATTACTCCTGAGGTGCAGTTTCACCACTTAACAAGGTACATACAGGAGAAACACATTCATCTTTAAGGAATTAGTAACCTGTAAGTGTTCTGCTTGGAAAGCTCTTTTCAAATAATCCACTGGAATAAATTATTGACTTCTAAAATCAACGTCTAGTTTGTTCGCACTGACATTATACATTTAGAAGGAATCTGACCCAACCTCGGGTTAGAGATGTGCTGCAGGAACATGTTTCAGCTCGTAGAAAAGACTGTTAGGAGTTGTTGAAAAGGAGAGTACTCAGATGTGATCAAAGTAACGGGGATCCTCACAGGGAAGCAATAGACATGCAGTGACCCCCCCCGGAAGGAGTTTGGTGCTCAGAATCGGTCAGGACTGGAGCCCTCTGACCAGACTTCCTTCCTCCTCCGCTGCCAGAGGCCTCAGGAGGGCGGACGAGTCAAAACACTAAAGTGGGATATTTTGGCGTGTCAGCTCTGATTTGGGATTTAGTCTGCTTCACGGCCTACAGTGCCTTTGCTGTTACGAACTGTGCTAGCTGGTTTTTATGAATGGAAAGATGTCCTGCAGTTTGAGCGACGCTGCGGGGGAAAGAGGTCATGAAGTTTTAGAATAAGTTCAGCCTGTATTCTTTTTGAATAGGCAGCAAAGAAGTAATGCATTGTCTAGACAGGGACACGATGTACTTTATGGCACAAGTGTTTTCTTGATAACAATGTCCTCTTGAAGTTTATGTAATACTGTATTTCTTTTTGCAGAGCACAAAGTTATAATTGTTGGATTGGATAACGCAGGGAAAACCACCATCCTCTACCAATTGTAAGTCATTTTGTTTAAAAAAATGTACAGTTGGAACCTTTTTTCAGTCAGTTTTCCTTTGCCAGCAAAAACTAACTATGATTCTTTCCTTCAAAAGTTTGATGAATGAGGTCGTCCACACGTCACCCACCATCGGGAGCAATGTGGAGGAGATCGTGGTGAAGAACACTCACTTTCTGATGTGGGACATAGGAGGACAGGAGTCCCTCAGGTCCTCCTGGAACACCTACTACTCCAATACAGAGGTGAGAAAAACAAGCAACTCATGTCGTACACTCTGAACTATTTCTATCCGATGAGGGGAACAGAAGTATTGTCCAGCAGCAGTTTTCTTCCTGAGCGTGGCAGCTGGTGTGTTTGTTCAGAGCACAGGCGGCAGCGGGGACCGCCCAATGTCAGGGGTCAGCCTTTACAAAGGGGGCCGTCTGAACGTCAAAGCAGGGGTCGGCCTCTGCAGTGTTTTGGAGAAAGGAGAAGAAGAACGGGAGAGGCATGGCGGGGGCAGATGTGTCTTACAGAATCTAACTTTCCTCTAGGACGTGCGATATCCAGTCTGCGTTCAACGCTTATTTTCATTTCCATTCACTTTTCGAGTCACAAGCAAACGCCTTATCACACAAGCGTACTCTTCCACTCTTGCTCTTTAACATGTCTCTGCTAAAAAGCTCAAACCTGTTCGACAGCAGACTGAGCAGCATGTTGTGGTTGTTCAAACATTTCCATCCTTTTTGAAGCCTCTAAATTATGAGGATGTGCTTATTATGGATCATATATTTAGTTTTTGGACTTGGAAAAAACACACTCTTTTATATTGCTTGCTAGGATGTTTAAGATTTTCTCCAGTTCCAACAATTAGTCGGTTTGCAGAAAAATAGTCAGTTTTTCTTTAATAATCAATCATACACACGTTTGCTTTTGTCATGTGAAAATACATGAAATAGCTTTTTGGGACTAACCAGGCAGAATGAACACAACTATGGGCTTTGGGATAGTTTAACATTTAATAAACAAAGAAAAACATTCTATAAAGTAAAAAACTGTGTGGCCATTTATAGTTTTTTCCCAATAGAGGTTTGACAAACCAGAGAACTTTACCTTGAGCATCTTATGAAAAGTGAATGCAGACTTATTACAATAGTAGACTAAAAACCCACCAATGTTTGCACTTAAGAATCTTAATGGCAGAGTAGCTCTAAATACCTTTTACAATAGAGTTGCTAGGAGCCTTACGGTTACTAAAGAAACCATATAATGTACTAACCCTGAGTAACTATGGTAACTGCAGTCTTTCACTCCACAGTGAAGCGGTCACACTCATGTAGATCCCTGGCTGTGATGTGGGTCACAGTCATGTTAGAGAACGCGTGTTGCTGAAGCTTTTTCCTTTAATGGCGCCTCTCACATCTCGGCAACATTAACATGCCATTGGTCTTTTGTCACACAGGGTCACCCTCTCATTCAAAACGAGGTTATTAGCATAGCAGTCACCAGAACCCATTGTGAGGCCCTTGGCCCCGGAAGTGCCCTCCTGCTGTGTTGCACTTGATTTCTGTAAATGTGTTTTTGAGAAGTGTGATGTTTGCCTCCTACTCTGCAGTTCATCATTCTGGTGGTGGACAGCACAGACAGAGAGAGGCTGGCCATCTCTAAAGAGGAGCTCTACAGGATGTTGGCTCACGAGGTAAAACATCTTAACACGTCTTTGTTTGGCCGTGAAGAAGAGAGTTCACACTCGGACTGCGGGTTTCCACCAAGCGTAGCCCCTTCCACATTTCATTGTTTAGAGCTTCAAAAGGTGGCATGTTTATGGTTTCATTGTTTCGTGTTCTCCCCTCAGGACCTGAGGAAAGCAGCCGTGCTGATATTTGCCAATAAGCAGGATATGAAG